TTTACGACCAATATTAATATAAGAACGACAATTTATACTAGAAAATACCTACATAATATTGTGATGTTTATATACTATTACTATATATAGACATATAGTATATAATATATATATGTAATATATACATTATTGTATGGCCGCAACTCGTACGTTATTTAGGGTTTGGGCCGCAACTCACCAACACTGTTTTCAATAATCAATATTCAAAAAACTGATTATGTTGTCTATCTTTTTTCAATCGAGTTTCGCAGGCTATTATTAATAAATCTTAATTTTGAGTACCTACAGCAACTGCCAACTGTTACAATTAAGACTAAATAAACAATACACGCACTTAATGAATCACTATTCACTGTATGTAGTACTAAGATAATGTTCTAAAATAAATATGACAAGATATTTTATTGATAGTAATTGATTTGTACCTATCCTAAGTCTAGACTTCATCAAGCAAGCTCCACCAACATCGAAATGTTCAATTGAAAATCTTGTTCACCCTGGTAGATGTGATGTTGTTAGATTGGCTGGTACAATAATATTGTTTATAAATTGAAAGTTAAAGCAAATTATATAATAATAAGCGTATATTACAGACTGTTGAGTATCTATATGACATGCCATGGACGATGGACCCCAGTGAATTGTGCACTWAATGTCAAYACTTCCGTARATTGAGCCACCGATATAAATATAACTTAGGTTTCTGTAAGGCTAAGCTTTCTAAGAAAATAGAAATTGATAAGTGAATCGAAAATCAAAAACGTAGCTACTAYTTCACTTTTTCTAAAAACAATATACCTACATCAATTATATATATATTTTTTTAAATCCTASAGTATTGTAGATATACCGTTCACCTATAATATATTTATTATAAGGTATAGGTACGTATATTTTTAATGCAGATTGTAACAAGACGTTATGGTCGATGTAACTGATCATTTTATTAGGTATAAGTAAAATTACTACGGTAGTTAATAGTTATATCTTAACTGGAGGTACTTGAAATGTTTACACAGGTATCCATTATTAGTTAAATATTACAACCGGACCGGTATCAACGTTATCACTTAATTATTAGATATTTGATACAGACAATTTTTTTTTATCAACAATAGAAAACAATTAACATAAAATTAAACATGTTAAATGTTTATAAATAGCTCAGAAAGAGAATATGATGCGTAAAAAATGATAATACAAACATTAATTAATATATTTATTTAAGTAGGTACCTATC